AGGACCCTCCGGACACAGCAAACCGTGCAGGGCCTTATCCTAGCTGGACAGCTGCGGCAAGCAGTGAGAGTGTGCTGTGTGTACTTGTGTTTCTGTGCACGCCCATGTGTGCATGGAGCCGCAGCTCAGCCTCCTACCTTCAGAAAATTCTCTAAACAACGAACATCTTTGCTTCTGTCCATTCTTCTTTCCTTCCTTCCTTTCCTTTCTCTCTCTTTCCTTCTTTTCTTTGGATTAAAAAAAAAATGCTTCCAGATGGCTGAAATTCATCCTCCTACAAGAACTGCTATAGGCGGATACAGCCAGGGAGAAGTTCACGCCTGCTCAAATGAAACATGGAAGAAGTTCTATGGGCATGTGGGAGGGTCCAGGGAGTTAAAGCAGGGCTTGCATGCTGGCATCCCATGTGGGAACGCCAGCCTGCAGCCTGATTACTCTGCTCCCAACTTAGCACCCTGCTAATGTGCCCAAACTCTGCCACCCACGTGGGAGACCCACATGGGATCCCTGCCTGCTGGCTGCACCCTGGCCCAGCCTTACCCACTGTGACCATCTGGAGAGGGAACCAGAGGCTAGGGGTCTGCCTGCTGCCCGCTGCTCTGCATCTCAAATAAAATAAATCATTTAAAATGAAGTGTGGGCATGGGGAGCCCCTCAGGTGGCACAGTGCCACAGCGGGCTAACCCTCAGCCTAGGGCACCATCAGCCCATATGAGCGCCAGTTTGAGTGCCTGTTCCACTTCTGATCCAGCTCCCTGCTAACAGTCTAGGGAAGCAATGGAGGATGGTGCAAGCACTTCAGCCCCTACACCTGCAGGGTGCTGGCTTCTGACTAGTCCAGTTCCAGGCACTGCAGCCATTGGTGGAGTGAACCAGCTGACGCAAGATCTCTATCTCTCTCTTAGATTCAAGTAAAATACAAAAATAATTAAGGAAAAAAATCAGGTGTGAGGGGAAGCAATAGAGGCCCCAGGCTTTCGGAAGGGCAGCTAAGAACATTCTTAGAAGGTTCTTCCAGGTATAACACTGAATGTTAATAATCACTATTATTTATGCCCCGAAATTACACCTCTATGCAAACCACAGAGTAACAAATGCCCTAAAGCCATTAAAGAAAAAAAAGCAATATTCTACGTACACTATACTCCCTAGTAGGTTAGGGAAAATAGCAAGAAACACAAGCACACAAAAAGACTAAATATTTGTGGATTAATGGACCTCAGCCAGATTCTCCCAAATTTTCTTCAGAATACATGGGTTTCATTCTTTCAGTGTGCTTTCAACAGTGGTGGCTCTTTAGAAACATCACCCTATTTTTGTCCAGCATCTCACATTCTAGCAGGTGCATGCTGTTTAGGGGGTTGGGTTTCCTTGCTAGGTCAACTTCAAGGAAAGACCCCAGCATGCGAGACTCGCAAGACCCAACAGGCCGGGCCAAGGAGGGAGCCGCGTGGGCTCAGCCCGGCCCCAGCCAGCCCGCCACAATGAGCCACGGGCGCTTGTTCTGACCTGTCCCTCCTCTGAACTTCTCCTTCCAGGAGTCCAGCCTGCACAGGGACTGAAACCCGGGCCTGGCTTCTCCCAGGAAGCACCGCAACAATGCTTTCATGTGTCCCACGCAAGCCTGTGACATCCCAAACAGCAAAGCAGCCCTCGGGAAGGGCCTCTGCCCTCCCTCCCAGGCCCCTTCTACCTCCTCCTCTGGTCAGCTCTTTCTTACTTTAAAAAAAAAAAAAAAACATTTACTTGAAAGGCAGAGTTTGGGAGGGTGGAGGGGAGTCCTCCAGCCACTGGTTCGCTCCCCAGATGGCTGCAATGGCTAGAGTGGACTGGTCTGAAGCCAGCATCCAGAAGCTTCTTGTACTTTCCCAATCACGTTAGCAAGAAGTTGGATCAGAACTGGGGCAGTTAGAACTAGAACTGATGCCAATATGGGATGGCAGAGGTGCAGGCAGTTGCCTAACGTGCTATGCCAAAACACCGACCCTCTGTTCACCTCTGGCTGATATACAGTCCCCACCTGCCACCCTCCTGGCCCCTCCAAAGCCACTTGTCCAAGACAAGCTCAGCTCCCACCCTCATTAAACCTTTCCCAAACCTCCTAGTCACCGGCATCTCTGCCCATCACTCTGGGTAATGCCCAGAGACCAGACCCGTCTGAAGAACCGAAGGCCCTACAGGAAGTGTATCAACGTCTCCTCTACCCGTGCTGCTCGCCCTGCACGCCCTGCGCCATCGGTCCTGCTCAGCACCCAAACGCCTTAACAGGCATTCCTTTCATCCTCAAAGGAACACAGACCCCAGCGAAATACGTGCCGTGCGCGGCGCACACACAAGGACGCCACAGATGTGTCATTTGCTTGCTCCCAAAACTGCATACAGGTGGCCTTGTTACAAAATAATTACCATTTACTGAGTGGTTTCTGTGTGCCAAGCACAGCGCTAAGCACTCTGCACACATGAATTAGCATATCCTTCCCTAAAATTATTCCTTAAACAGACTTGCTCTAAATGCACCTTCAAGTCATCGTTATTTCCGCATACCTAAGAGTTCTCCACTTATTGAAAAATAATATATTAGGGCTGCTGGGGTGGTGTAGCATGTTAAGCCACCATCTGTGATGTCCACCTCCCATGTGGGTGCTGGTTCAAGTCCTAGCTGCTCCCCTTCTGACCCAGCTCCCTGCTAATATGCCTGGGAAAGCAGTGGAAGATGGCCCAAATGCCTGGACTCCTGCACCCAAGCACCTGGAAGATGCTCCTGGCCCCTAGCTTGAACTGGCCCAGGCCTTGCCATTGTAGCCGTCTGGGAGGTAGCAAATGGAAAACCCCAGTCTCTCTCTTTTCCTCTCTCTGTGTAACTCTGCCTTTCAGATAAGCAAAAGTAAATCTTAACCAAAAAAAGCAGCAGCAGCAGCAAAAAGCATATACTGTTTGAAAAAAACCAGTATTTGGTCTGAGCTAACTCCATCATGCTAGTTTTTGATGCTTATACAAATAATCTGCTAGAATTTTTTAAAGCGAAATGCAGAAACAATAAACTTTAACATAGAATTATTCTTAGAATTTTACAATGTCTATTGCTAAAAAAAAAAAATACTTCTAAGTAAGCTTTATAAACATCTCTTAAACAGCCCAGTGTGTGTGTCAGGTAGCAAGAAGATGCACCCGGCAGCAGAGTGCCTGGGTCCCACGCCCTGGCTCTGAACCCCGAGCCCAGCTCCCTGCCAGACCCAGGAAGGAGCAAATGACGGCACCAAGAAGTGGTTCCTGCCCATCCTGACTGTCGCAGGCATCTGGGGAATGACTAGTGAACAGAAGTACTCTCTCTCCTTCCCTCTCTCTCTCCCTCTTTCTCTCTCCCTGTCTCTCTCCCTCTCTCTCTCTCTCCCCCTCGCTCTCTCTTTCTCCCTGTCTCTCTCCCTCTCTCCCCACCCTCTCTCGCGCGCGCGCGCGTGCTCTCTCTCTCCCCCTTGCTCTCTCTCTCTCCCTCTCTCCCCCTTGCTCTCTCTCTCCCTCTCTCTCTCTGTCTCTCAACCAAAGGTAACACAGCATGTAGTTATGCTTTGGATCCACAAGTAAAATATTACAGATGGGGGAAAGTAGCCAGAAGTTTGAGAATTAGCCACTGAGGCTGGAGATGACCCCAGCAGTAGAGGACGCTGCGTGCAGGTTCATAAGACCGCTACCCAGTCTTAGACAAGGGACTTGAACCTGGCCGGATTCCACTATCTGTCCCCATAAAGGACAATTGTGTGAAGCTGGCCCTGAAATTGATTTTTTTAAATCTCGTTGGCACCTGTCGTGAAGCTCACCAGAAAGAAGGGCGTTGAGGCAAGTCCTGCCAACACCCCCCGCCCAGGGGTCATCCTCGGGGTGCAGGTGCAAAGGGGCTCAGGCCGCAGGATGGGCGCCCACCCGCCCTGCCCCAGGGGACAAGGCTTGCACTGCCAGGAGCCACAAACCCAAACTGCCCTTCCCTCCCCGGGCAAGGCAGGGCAGGCGGAAGAACTCAGCAGGAGAGGGACAGGGCCAGCTGCTAGACATGGATGAGCTATGGACAAGCAGGCCCTGCCCTGGCTTCCGTTTCCACACAGAACCAGACAAATGTCAGAGCCCAAAGCCGGTGGCCCACGCTGAGCGCGCGCTCACACCCCAGCCCACCACCTGGACCTCTGCACCCGCCCTGACTCGGCCATCAGCAGGCTCCTCCACGGACTCCCCACGCCTCGCCTGGAATCCTGTCACGGTGTGCTGCTCTCGGGACACACGGCACACACGTGGGGGACGAGACAGTGCCTTCCTCACTCACAGGAGGGCTCATGGAACCCCTCAGCTGTCACTGCTGGACCCTGGGACTCAGGCACGCACTGGGTGGGGATGGGCTTCTAGGGGCCGGGGAGGGGGCGACAGGGGGAGTCCAGGAGACTTCAGAAAGTTCGTGGAAAGGGAGAATTTATAAAGAGCTTATCTCGCTGGAACCCAAGCATTGTTTCTCAGATGTACTTTGCAACGAACTTCTCCAAAAACACCTTGTATGCACGAATTCCAAAGACAGTTTGCATCCAAAATAGGCTTATCTCTCAGTTCCATGCCCCACACAGTGTTTGAAGGACCCACAGAGCCGGGGACAGGGCGCCAGGCTGTCCCGGGCCGGACCTGCAGCAGCTGTTGCTTCGTCTCCCCAAACGCTTCCAGCCACACAAACCGTGCTGGAGAGGACTCCCCTTCTGTTAAGTTTTTGTTGAAAAATACCTAAATGCAAGGGAAAGCCTTACTTGCTTTTGGACGATTTTGCCAACTCTTAAGACAAGATGATAACTTTCATATAATGATACAGTGTTCTTAGTCCAGAGAAGCTAGGCTGAAAACCCTCAACATCCCCCAAGTCACAGTAGCTGAACGAGAACGCGCACCGGGAGCCTGGCTTTCTCCACCGCGCGCTTGCACATCCGCAGGGCGCCCGGGGAGCCTTGCCCAGCCGCTCCAGGCCCGCTCACCTGAATGTGCACAGCACCCTCTATCGCTTCGGCGAGGTTGGAGCAGCCGCTGATGAGCGACAGCTGCTGCTCGGCGCTCAGCGAGCCCTTCAGAGACCCCGCCTGCTCCAGCGCCTTCATCTCCTTCCTGCAAAAAGGCAGACAACCCGTCACTGCGAGGCCTCCGACAAACGTCTACACGCAGACCGGGCTCAACGGCGCTAACGGGAAAGACGCAACCCCAAATCACAATGGCCACCCTCACCAGCACCCCACCACCACCCCTGCAGGATCACAGCACTCAAACCAACGTTGGCTAAGGGGGGTGGGGGGGACTGGAATGCTTTGAGCAGCCTTGCTGAGCTGGTGGCGTGATGCAACCACCACGCGAAACAGCAGGGAGCTTGAAAAACAACTCAAAAGGGAACGTGGACACAAAGCCAGCCAGCAGCCCTGCATCGGGCAAGCATCCAAAGAATGGAAGGCCAAGCCTTGAAGAGATGCTGGTATGCCCTGTTCAAGAGAGGGCGGCAACTCAGAGCCCATTAACAGCCCCCCCGCATCGTGGTGTAGCAAGGAAAACGGCAGAGGATGGCCCAAGTCCTCGGGCCCCTCAGCCACATGGGAGACCCGGACGCAGCAGCCTGGTCCAGCCCTGGCCACTGTGGCTATCAGAGAAGTAAGCCACTGAATGGCAGATCTCACACTCGGTGTCCCCCGTGTAGCCCTGCCCTACATACATCTTTTTTTTTAAAAAAAGATTTATTTTTATTATTTTTTAGTGGAAAGGCGGATATACAGAGAGGAGAGACAGAGAGGAAGATCTTCCGTCCAATGATTGACTCCCCAAATGAGCGCAATGGCCGATGCTATGCTGATCCGAAGCCAGGAGCCTCTTCCGGGTCTCCCATGCGGGTGCAGGGTCCCAAAGCTTTGGGCCGTCCTTGACTGCTTTCCCGGGCCACAGGCAGGGAGCTGGATGGGAAGCGGGGCTGCCGGGATAGAACTGGCGACCATATGGGATCCCGGGCGTGCAAGGCGAGGACCTTAACCACTGCGCCACCCTGCAACGCCAGGTCAATCAGGCAGGCCACATACACGAACACACACGCTCGCCTTGCTTTGCAAGGAATGCCGTGGGCTTCCTGCTGGAAGTCAGATAACATTTACATGTGTCTTTCAGTGGCCCGTGCCCATCAGCTGAAGGCCTGCAATGGGATCAGGCTGGCATGACACAGCGAGGAAGCTGCCTGCCACCGAGGGCACAGGGCACCTTAGCGAGAGGGGGCCAGAGAGAACCTCTCCAAGACTCAAGGTTTGGTGGGCGACTTTGCAAGGACAGCAAGAGGAGCAGGGCTCACTATCTTGAGAGCTGCCTCATATAAATTAATTTGGAAGAAAACTGGCGGAATATAGCTTTAAAAACCCCGGAGGAGGTGTTTAACCTGCTGGTTAAGATGGCTGAGTCTCACACCAAAGTGCCCAGGTCTGATTCCAAGAGCCAGCTCCTGCCTCTCCTTCCTACAAATGCAAGCCCTTGTGGACCACACTGGCACATCAAGTCACGGGGCCCCTGCCCCTGCCGTGGGAAGCCTGGGTGGAGCTCCTAGCGCCCCTGCTCTGAGCACCAACCTGCTCCCTGGCACTGCCAGCATTTGGGGAACGAACCGACTTATGGCAGTGCTCGCTTGCGCGCTCTCTCTGTCTCTCTCTAATATATATATTCTCTGCTTCATATACAACCCTAACGACTCCCTGGTTTGGGAGAAATCTTGAGGATGAGCACAAAGGGGCTGCCCTCAGAGGTAAAGGCTACCTCCAGGGCGCGCACGTTTTCCCACAATTATGCAAAACAGATTCCTTGGGGTAGAGACCCACAGGATCAGTGTGGATCCTGAAAACAGAGCCAGTTCCCTGGGAAGCTTACAGAAACACATACATTCATTACATTTTCCCTGATGTTTTGGACTCTGAGATGCAAACAGCGCCCTCTGCTGGTTCCCCTTAACCCCTACATCAGCCACGGCTGAGCACAGCCCAGGTCTCCAGCCTCGCCTTCCAGGGCACACAGCAGCAGGAGGCCGGAATCGGGGCCAGAGCCCAGGCGTAAGGGATGGGCTCTACTTAACCTCTGCCTCTGTAATCCTTCAAATAAATAAATAAATCTTTAAAACCAGCTTTATTTATTTGAAAGAATTACAGAGACAGAGAGAGATCCTCCATCTGCCGGCTCACTCCCCAGATGGCTGCCGTGGCCAGAGCTGGGTGAAGGCAAAGCCAGGACTCAGGAGACTGACCTGGGTCCCCCATGTGAGTGGCAGAGGTTCAAGCGCTTGGGCCATCTTCTGCTTCTCCCACACCACTAACAGGGAGCCGGATCAGGAATGCAGCATGAACTGGCATCCACGTGGGACACAGGTAATGGCTTAACTCATCACGCCACCACAATGGCCCTAGCCTCTCTTTTAATACCATCTTCCCACGAGTTTTTGGGAACACCTCATATGTAGAGAAGACAAACATGACTGGTTTTTAGGACTATCGATGTTAACGCCAACTCCTTTGATGTCCAATTTTACCACGTGTAAAAAATAAAACCACGTAAGTCCATTTGGCTTTCAAAACAACTAGAAATACTCATAACACACGTCCAACCAGAAAGAATATTTCTTCTGTTTTTCAGTCTTGCCCACTTATTTTGATGCCAAAGGAACCAACGCCCAAAGATGGGGCCGACTGCCAGAGTCAAAGCTGGGAGACGCAGGTGAGCAGCACCCACTGCCGCAAGCACCGTGACACAGCAAGCTCAGCCTGCCGCACTGGCGTCAGTGTCCTCATGAGTTCACTCTCTCACTGTCCCCTCCAGGTACCCCAGGATCCCTGCCCTAGACACAGGCTTCCGTAACGCAGAACCACGGGGCAGGTGGTGCTATGGAGAAGGCATCCTTCAGGTAGTGCAGGACCATCAGCGGCTTGGCCCCTGCTTGCCATACTGCGTGGCAGCCAGCCATGGGTGGGAGGCATAGGGTCGCTGGCAAGACCCCTAATGGCCCTCATGCCCTCAGCATCACTTCCCAGGGCCCAACATAGGAATGTGGGGACAGGAACATTGGAGGGACACCTCTGAATCACAGCACATGGCTCCCACAAGCCTGAGACAAGCACTAACCTGTCACAAGCTCTGTGGGCTGACCAGGCACCTTGAGCCAAATGGCCACTGGATGGTAGGAGGTGAAGACCCACTGGGCAGCGCCATCAAAGGCAGACAGGCCGGCACAGGTGCAGCGGGGCCGCCATACGGGCCTGAGCCCTATCACGTGACCACCCACTGCTAATCATGTGACAGCGAGGACACTGTTGCAGGGGGTCCCACAGCGGATCCTCACAGCTTGGGGGATGGGGAAAGAAGCCTAGAATCTCTCCCTTTACCCACCAGGCAAGACCCAGTGCCCCTTAGATGTGGAGCATCACAGGGGCTGAGGGCTGAAGATTCCTGCACGTGTGAGCACTCAGCTGTGAGCCATGGGATTTCTGTACATTAGACCCACAGCAGCCACCGCGCCTGGCTGGTCACCACGCCACCCATCAGCACAACCAGAGGAGACATCTCACTTTCATTTGGTTCATAGAGATCTTCCATCTCTGGTTCACTCTCCAAATGGCCTCAATAGCCAGAACTGGACCAGTCTAAAGCCAGGAGCCAGAAGCTTCTTTTGGTCTCCCACAAGGATGCAGGGGCCCAAAAACTTGGGCCATTGTCTGCTGATTTCCCAGACCATTAGCAGTAGAACAACTGGAACTAGAACCAGGACCGATATGGGATGCCGGCACTGAAAGCAGAGGTTGAATCTGTAGCCACAGCGGGGGCCCCCTGCAAGTAATATTTTTCTAAGATTATTTTTCTTGTCACAGCTTATTTTAATTTTAAAAAAAAAATGCAGACAGAACACATATGTCTTTTTTTTTCCCCCGGTCATCTGGAACTAACTACCACCACTGGCATCATTTGCTTCCTGTCATTCTTAAGTAAACAAAAAGAAAGCCCCTGGAAACAGAATTTGGCAGGAAGAGCTACAAACGCCGGCCTTCTGCACACAAGACTTGGACAAAGAAGCGAAGAAGCAGATGGTCTCGGGGCCCTTGCACCTGGGCTAGGCAGACAAACTGGGACCTGAAGGCAGAGCTGTGGTGCACACCTGGCCGCTGGAAAAATGCAGATGCAGACCCCAGGGCCTGCTGTGGCAAAAGCCCAGCCAGGAGCTGGGAGGGGTTTCCACAAGGATATCCAGACAGACCCCTCCTCGTGAAATTCAAATCTACATGCCTTCTACCAAACCCAGCCGCTGTGCTCAGTGGCTAGACCCTTTCCAAAGCAGAAGACTGAGCATTTTGAAAGATCTTCTGCCTTGAGCTTTGAAGAAGAGACGCAAAAATACCCAGAGAACTTCTAACTACCTGTAGGAACCTCAAAAGCCACACACGTTCTGAAATATTGCTGCGCTTTGCCTGGTAAACTGCTGCAGTGTGCCAGATCTACCTGTAGGGGTCAGCCTAACAACACAACTCAGTATTTGCATTTCCCCAAATTAAGGAAAATTGGACAAGTGCTCACAATCCTTTCTGTAAAATAGGATATGAGTGTTTGTTTTACCCTTTAGATTTGTTTGTGAAGTTTTATTAAAAAGGAGGATTTACTCCAAGAGTTAGTGGAGGGAGAATCAAGACAGCAAAACAGGGCAAGAACACGTTTTAACAGATGGAGAAACGTTAGGCAGTGTAAGCAGAGAGGGCACGTTCCAGTAGATAGGAGAGGACAGAACAACAGCAGAGGGGCACCTGGAGACTGACAGACACAGGAAAGCAGCAGGTACAACAGAGTGGTGTTGCAGTGACTGATACCCCAGCGGCATTCAGCGAGGGGCGATCTGAACTCCACTATGGACAGTGCTACGCATGCGCTGAGCTGCGAGTGAACTCATTTCTGACTCAGTGAACTGCATCAACGTGGCATCCTACAGGTTCCACCCAAGATAGGTCCAAGTAGCCCCCAGACCGGATGGCCAGCAGATCAAGAACTCAAGTAGTGGCACGTCAGGCACCATTTTGTATGGTGTAGCAAAGGCTTTGAGACTGCAGGGACAACAGTGA